GGTTCACTTCAGATGTGTATTCCCCAGAGACCTGCCTTAAAAACAGGATGAAGACTGGAGGTAGTGGATTCGTGTGCCTTCGCAAGGATTAGGGTATGCCCAAATTGGGAATTCTGTCCCAGGGCTGTTGACCATCCTTATGCAGCTTCCAAGTTCTGCAGCAAAAACTTGACTGTGGAGGCAGGAATTGTTTCTCTATTAAGTTACATTTATGTATTCCAAAATTACACTGCAGATGGACAATTTTATTCACGTGTATACATGGTACAGTAACCAAGACAGCCACTGCTCAGCACTTTTGTACTGTGGGTGAGAGAGGCTTCACAGATGTAAATGATGCTAAGATGAGTAAAATAGAGGTACTAAAGAAGGCCTGTGTCCCTCCTTCATAAAATTAAAAGAATCACTGCCTTAACAGAGAAAAGAAAGCAGGATTTCCCAGATCTTAGGGGCAAGAAAAAGCAAGTACATTTGATATACACAGCTGTGAATATACAATGCTGTGAAACTTTTCTGGAAATGTGAAAAATCAATGCACGTAGAGTTAACGGGCAGATGACACGGACAGTGCATTAGTCCAATCTGGACATATCTGGGTCTAGAAATCATGGAGAAAATCTGAAAAACTTTGACCTCTGCCCACAAAAATATTTCCCGGGGAAGTCCTGGATGTGTACAGGAGAAAGTAAAAAAAATATCTCTATAAGTAGAAGTATTAATGAGATACGCAGGACAATACACAAGTATCTTTATCTCAAAAATACTCAGAACTAAAACTGCCCACTCTTGACTTAGACTTCAAGAAATGAAGGAATAGTTTTTCTCTTATTTCAGGAGGAATTCAGTTGACTGCAAGGAAGCTAAGATTTAATTCTTCCAGGCTACGCTTGTTCTACGAGTGTGTGAAAATTAGTTTTCTAGGACTCTCATGCCAACGCTTCTCATAAAAAATACAATATAATCTCAGAAGTGTTAGAAGGAATTGAGAGAACTTTGCATTTGTAGGCCCTTCCTCAAAGGGTAAAATGCCGCAAATTTATTATAAATGGTTATTTCCTGATGTAACATATTTCTGTTGGTTTTGTGAAGGTAGCAGTCAGATAAAATACTTGGCAGTCTTCTCTATTGCATCAGCTTCCCTTATGCTCAAGTAGATTGATAGAAGTCAAGATAGGATGACAATCACAACTTTGAAAGTAGAAACCAGTAGCTTGCAATTTCCTCATGTCTAACCAATAGTAAGTTGAAGTGGTTGGAAGTGGTAAGTTGGGTGATTGTGCAGTAGCTGTTAATATTTTTTTTCTCAGAAATGGCATGAAAGGAGATTGTTTTACTTGATTATATGGCCTCTCATTTCCCCAAACTTTTTTTATTCTTTTGTCAGAAAATATGTAACTCCTCCTTTGACAGAACATTACAATTCTAATTATGCTTTGGCACAGCAAAAAACTTTGTGTCTTTTACTTAAAAATACCTTTCAAATATTGCACAAGCAGAGATCCAGTAACTGTGCTTGTGAAATGAGATAATTTGGAATTATTATTTCTGGCATGATAGATAAACATAACAGGATTAATAAAAAGCTAGTGATTGTTTCAGCATCTGTATTATATATTATTGATTCTTGATCTGTGCTGAGCAATACTGTCTGATGTTCCAGATTCATGAAGTGGAAGCAAATGATATAACCAATACAGAAAGAACAGCATGGTGGAAGGTTTCAAATAAACTGCTGAAGCTACAGTTGTCTGCACCAGTCAAATTCACGTGATTAAAAATACTGTCCTGCTTTTATTTCAGCATCTTACTTAGGAAAAATGCTGAAATGTGGTACAAAAGGAAGTGGCAGTATAGGAATAGTAATAGAGAGGATTCATGAGAATACATTTGCTCTCAGACATGATTCCCAAATTTAGGCTTCTGTCTCAGTCACTTAAGCCCCTTGAGTGAGACCATGACCCAGAAAAACAGTCCTATCTTTCCCCAGTTGCATATTTCCACTGCTTCTCTTGAGCTAGCAATCATGTTAGCACAATTACATGGTGAGCTGGGTTAGAGACTGCCTGAAAACTCCTTTGGCTGATTTAGCTTCAAACAGAGCAGGCTCCTGATGGAGCTTCCTGTATGACCATACAAATGCTCACATCAGCAGAGGGGAACAGACATGATCGTGCACGTGGGAGGTGAGGACAGCCGGTTTTGTAACACTGAACATGTGATTTAGAGTGAGTTTCAGGTAGTATATTTTGGCTTTTTCAGGAGACAAGTGCCAGAGTTGGGAAATGGTAGCATTGAGGGCAGGACAAGTTCCCAACTCATGTGCCTGCAGAAGGAACAGCACTCAAGGATTTTCCTTCCTCTGGTTGTGTACTTGTCCCAGGGAAAGGGAAGAGGGACAGGTTTGTGTCTTTCAGTGTTGGCCAGTGTTGTTTAGCATACCATTAGTAGGATCTAGAAGTTCTGTGCACTGGATGCATCAGTTTAAGCTGAGATTTCCAACGGTGCCAATGAAACTTAGGCTGTTGGTTCTTGTTTACTTTCACTGGAAAGGAGATTTACCTCCAAAGCTCAGGATGGCAAATCTCCCTTCTGAAATGACCCTCTTACATATGTGCAAGTGTTGCTGTCATTGGGTCCAAGGGATTTGATGCAGTGTCAGTGGAAAGACACTCTACAACATGACTGGCCCTCTATGGAAGAACAAAAAAACCAAAAAGGAATATTCTTATTAAATATGGACTTGCTAAAATTGATTGGTAGAACCGGGCTGAAGGAATGGTCAGGGCAGGTCTTGGAGTTGGGACTCTCCCTAAGACTGACCCTACCATGCAGCTTTTAGTGGTGCTGTATTCTGCAGGGGCCCCTGACACATTTACTGCTTTGATGGCATCCGCAGAATTGTACATTAAGTTTAAGCACATCTAAAAGTAGGATATTTCTCAGTGCAGGGGCTTGCAATGAGACGGTTAACTCAGTGATTGTATTTCTGCTTCTTCCAGTGCTTGTTCTGGGGAGTTTTGGTCTGCAAAGCTGGTTTAGGTTTTCTGTTTTGTTTTTGGCTTTTTTAAACTCTTATCAATGGGATTGTGCATGATTAAAGGTATAAATCAAACTCAAGGAGTCTGTGAGCCCCAACACTCTCGATGAATTATGGAAAATTTATTTTGCATTACATAATGTATAATTTTTATCCTTTTGTTGACTACACTGTGGCTAGCAGCATGATTTATCCTGAACCTAAACGCTTTGCCAACACATATTTGATGAGAGATATTAGCCATTATCAAGACACATATTTTAGCTATGTAAGCAATGCCAAAGCAGCTGTGAATTCTTAACATATCTCAGTCTGAACAACTGGGAGAATTACGAAACTAGTTAACAGACTAAGAGAAAATACCATATTATCCTTATGGATAAACCACCTTATTAAACAGTGAGATGTATCCTTGGCAACTTTATTTTGGACAAAGACAATTAAGGTTGAGGTTAGAGACTTTGTAAAGCTTGAATACAGACTGGATTTCATTGGCCTTAAATCTTTAAGGGGCAGCTGCAAACATCTGACCTGAATTGCCTAAGCACTCCAAAGAAAGAAGTTTGTTTTGTACTCTTGTACCAAATTTTACAATTCATGTAACTCACACAATATTAGAAATTATTTTAACTCAGAGATTGTAGAAACAAACAAGTATTTTTTACTGGGCTTTTGCTATTTATTAGAAAGGGCTTGATGCTATTTTAGAAGTTTTACTACAAAATCTGAAAAAAATTGCATATACTTATAGACAGATATCCTGTCCTATGTTATACAAGACACTTCTCTGTTTTTCAAAATGGATTTGAGGAGGCCTGTCTTTTCTGCTTGAAGCCAAACTTATCTACGAGGGCTGCAATTTGTAGTCATATCTTGTAATATGTTTTAATGTTGTTTTTTAGAACTTAATTGTCAAATTATGTGACAGTTCAAAGTTCCTGGACTGTAAAAATCTGGTGTCTCTAAATCCTTTCCAGTGCAGTAGCTTTAAAATAAAGAGACACTCATCACTGAATTAGTCAGTGTTTTGAAAGTGTCACAATTGTGAGCACAACAAAAGTCTTCTGGAGTAAACCTGGCAATTCAGTGAGCTGGGCCTAAGAAAATACCTGTTTTAATGCATGTATTTTATTTCCTGTGGCACTCCCTAAGGGGTATTTTTTGAGTGACAGCAGAGGACAGTTGGGTATAATGTTAGCTGAAGAGTTCCAGCAGTGAAGGGTAGCATTAACTTTGAAGGGAAAACAGCAAGCTAGTTCCTTACTTGAGATAAAAATGTCTTTATTAATTATATTCTCTTTAATTTGAAGTATAATTCAAGTTGACTAGATTCTTCCCAAGTTAGTCAGCAGTTTCCTACAGAAGTTGCTGTGCTGGGTTCCCTGTTTAACCACACGTTGCTAGATCATGGCATATCATGAGGCCTGCTGGCTGGTCAGCTGCTGAAATTCCAGAGCTGCCACAAGGACTGCAGGACACTGAAAATATATAATAATTTCCTCATTAAGAATTTTAAAACTATTCCCTTATTTTTATTTTTTATTAAATGGTAGATTTAAATGGCTCATTTTACCTTTTGATTATTTAGAATACTTCCACAGTAGTACAACTGTATTTTTATTAGTTGGAGTTGGTTTTATTTTCATGTTTGCTAGGACATTCTATTCTTTATTTTGCCATAAAGTCCTGCTTCTTTAGCTGCTTTAGTTCTTGTCACTCTTAACTGTGTGAAATGGATTCCCAGACATCCAGCAGGAAGTGTTTGTAGGTCAGTGACTAATTTTCCCAAGCCCATTTTGCAGACTCTGGTGATTTATACCAGCTCTATTTATAGAGAAAAGATGACTTTTTTAACCTATGAACTTGCTATCTTCCTGTTGGCATTTCTTCTATCAACTGATGTATCTGCTTGCTGAGTGATGGCGACAGCAAAGCTAATAAACTACACAAGTGGCAAAAAGCATTACAACAGACAAGAATTTGTTTCACATTTAATTACCAGTACAGGCACTGCATTCAGCAGTGTTGGTGTGCATGTCAGAAATACCATGGCACATCCATTTTATTTACTTGGTCCCCTTTCCTGCAACACATGAACAACTTGCTGTTTTAAAGATTTTAGTCTTAAAAATCCCCTTTCATATGGTGAGATTCTATGATTCCCATTCACTGAAAGGGACCTGAGATACAGGGGTTAAGTGGTTTTCAAGAGTCTTAACACAGACTGCAACGGAGCAGATTTTTTTTTCCCAAAATAATGGAAACTGATTCTAAGGATCATGCTAGCTTTTGCCATATTTGAGAGGAAATTTTTAAATGTTCACATGGAAGCCTCAATTTTTAGTTTTGTAAGCTTGTTATGTCCTGGGTACTTTTTCATTGAGAGGCAAAGGACTCTGGAATACCAAGGGGTAATGTTTTCATTACTTTTATTCCTTTCTACTTTTGGCCCATTTTGGTGTATAGTTTTCAATCTTGCATTATTTTTCAAAGGAAAAAGTACTACCTAATACCATACAGGACCTGAGGAAATGGAACAAAATCTCTCAGAAATACACACTCAAAATTATATATCTGTTGTTCATTTGTTAAGTACATTAACTGATTTTTGGTTCTTTACCTCTAAGATCCATATTTCCATTTTCTGTATTTTCCAGGCATATACACAGGGTTTTTGTCTGGAGAAGGGTGATTTTTGGCTTCTCTACAATTCTGAGTTCCTACATATTTACAATTGTAGTACCTTGCTAAAACTCAAAAAGACTCATGCCTGAACACTTCTCTATTGAAAACTTGGATGCTTCAAGAGCTTTAATTTTCGTACTGAGAATGTTCTTACTTTTTAATTTCACCTCTTGATTTGAAAGTTAACCGAGGAAAGTATTTTCACTCAATACAGATGTTAATACTTAGGAGAACTTTACTCAGTTTGAGACTGTTTCACAGAAAAAGTTCTTGAGATGAGTCTGTACAGTTCACCATATTTATCTTGATTCCCTGTCTCTGAAACCTTTAACTTTTTTTCAAATCTATTCTTCAAACAAAGCCCTCTTTATTCTACTTAAAAAGGCTGGTCTTCTGGGGAGCTGTAGGATAAAGCATTAAACTTCCGTGATGCTCTTCTTCGTATAGACGGCTGAGCAAATGTATGTACAGACACGTGCTTTTCTGGTGAGCTGTGTTTCTAAAGACTTTAATCCTCTGCATATTAACCTCTATTAGCTTATATTACAGGACTTGTAAGCTCATAGTACACTTAAATGTTTCTAACTGTGAGCTGCCATGACTGATATTCAAAATTGCTAGGTATTGAGAGTTGAATAAAAGTGGGTGATTTTATTTTCTGAAGATGAATTTGAGAAAAAAAGTTTTGTCTGAACATGGTATCCCAAATTGCTGGGGCTGGTTCAGTTCTCATTCTTACTGTAAATTAGGACTAGCTTCATTGAAACTAAAGAAGTTTTATTTGCCTGGGCTTGTATGAAATCAGAACAGATTAACAGATACCTCTTTATAGAATGGGATCTTTAACAGGCAGAACGGAATAAAACACAGTGGGCTCTTATTCATACTCCATATAGACTCTCTGGCTGGCAAAGTGCTTTGTGGCAGCACTGCCTGGTTTTACACATTATTTTGTTTTGTTTAGTTAGGCTTTTCTCTACAAGGGGTTTTATTGTTCAAGAGGGGGCACTCCCACCCTTGCTCATAGTCATCGAGTCATACCATGGAGTAATTACTGCTCCTTCCATGCCAAGATCTCAGACCAAGAAAAGGCAGCCAATCCTGATACAGGAAGACACACACTGGCACAAAAAAACTAACTAGGGAGACAATGAAGAGAGAAAAACACAGAGCGAGACTGTATGGGATTGTGCTCTATCTGCCCGTGACAGCAGCATCAGGGGCAATGTTGTTTTTCCCCAGTAGCTTTCCAATATAGTTACTCCATTCACTGATGAATTGAGAGTATGTGAAACTGTGCCAAAGCTAATCAAATCAAATTCCACCCAGCTGGTTAAATCCAATTGCTTGTGCCTTTCTCCACAATGCAAGGGCATCCATGGTACTCTTGGCTGAACTGCCTCCTCCCCTCCCAATGCTCATGGCAGATCTGTGCCGTGTGGGTGATCTTCCCTCATATGGGTGGCTCTCTGGCTGCTTGCAAGTGCAGATCTTATCTTGTTCAATCCCTGAAGAAATAATAATAAAAAACCCCAGTTACATATCTATTTTAATATTCCAGCATAGCTGTTCTTGAAGTGTTTCCCCTAAAACAAAGAACAATCTTTCCCCAGTTGAGGGGAAACTGCCTCTTTCCCCAGTGGTTTCAAGCTGGTGAGTAACATCACAATAATAAAAAAGGTAATAATATAACATAATATGCACTTACTTGGGCTATGCATGTTTAGAGAACCATTCTAACACCTGCTCTCTGTCTATCACCTTCATTCTTGAAGCAACTATTTTCTCCTGTAGAGTAAATGGAAATAGGCAGGATCCTCTGGTTGCCACACACTTCAGAGTACGAGCGTGACTTTGTTCTCTGCATTATTGCCTAGAATAGTATCTCATCATTGGCTAGCATGAGATAATATCCCAATTTACACACTAAAGTTAAATACGTGAACTAGGTAGCCCAAATTTTTCCCTTGATCTCCAAAAGAAGTCTTCATTTACTCTTTGCATGTTTCTCTCTGATTCAAGTAAGGCACTTGATTTCTGTGAAACAAGTGTGCCATTCACCAGAGGACTAACTTCACTGATACCATGAGTATTTTTAAGCCAGGTAACACTGGAGCAGTAGCTCCCATCTCTTACCTGCTTCTTGTTACGTCTGGATGTGTTTCCTGTGAACAGCAGCTGCAGCTCCCTGCAATGTACCACAGAAACCTCCAAATGTCTCTGATGACGGCACAATGGTTGGGGTTGGCATAGACAGAGCTTCAGACAACTTGTGTCAAGGCTGAAAGGATGTTTTCTGGCAAGCACTGGATTTGTACCTCCAAGAAAGAAAAGACTGCTTTAATCCTGGAAGAATCAACACCGTCAGCAAAGGGGAAATCTGCCCCAGGAGTAGTCAATTCAAATCCATGGGGGTGGGAATCTAAGAGTTGATCCATGAATGCATTCTCTCGAGGAGCAGCAGTGTGAAAGGCTTTGCTATACAGGCTGGGGCAGAATCAATTGGGATGCACTCTGGTCTTTCCTTGAGAAAGAAAGTATTAATGCTACTGAATTTACACTTGTAACAATAAACATAAAATATTAACAATAAGAATTCCTCAGATGTGTTCATGACTGTGGTTTAGTTGATTTGGAATTTAATACTATAGTCAAGAGAAATGTAGCTATTACAATCAACAAAGTTTAGGGTATGGTTCAGCTGACCAGCCAGACCACTGTGTACCTAGCAATGTTAATTTCAAGCTTTTGCTTAAACTCCCAACAATGATTACGTGTGATAAATTTGGCAAGATGGCATTAGAGTGGATGCCCAAACTGTGAGTAGGACTCTTACTAAACATCAGATGGCGGTGTGGGGAAGGTATTGTGTGACACAAATTTCTCAGACTGTATTTGAAAGACCAGCAGAATTAAAAGATCTAGTTGTCACCAATCATTTATCTTAAGATTTTTTTTTTAACTGTGCTTCCCAAATTGTTTGGTTTGCAGGAAGAAAGTTTTGGATTGAATAATTGTTACAATTTTTATCTACTCAAAACAGATAAAAGCTTATATTAAGCAAAACACTGACCTACATCTGCTAGTTTGAAATACTCATATTTTTCAACAATGTTCCAGGAATATTTCAAGCACAAAATTTAATGGGTCACATCATTAATTTTAGCGTATTAAAATCCATTATCTTTTGTATAGTGGAGTATCCTCTGTAGAGGGGAGATGCTACAGATTGAAAATATTTTTGTGGAAGAATAAGCCCTCTGTAAACATGGTATGTCAGCACTGACCAAGCTTGAAAATCTTGGCCGTGGTTTAAGGAGCTTTATGTGGTACTCAGCTGACATATGCAGTTGCTCAGGAGGGCAAACTTGTTAAAATACATAATGGTAAACATCAAGAATAGAATAGTCTCCCATCAAAGAAAGACATACATGATGTCTAAGCATGTCAGTAAGGTACAGTGAACTGTTCTTGCTTTACTGTACCAATATTTATCAAACAATGCGACTACATTTGCATCATACACTTGAGATAGCTGAAATAAAGTAATCAAAACTATGTTTTCCTGGTGTGTATTTCACCTATGTACTCTTCTCAGCTCTTAGATACCAGCAGGAGACCATTACCCTGGAGCAGCATCCCTTTTCTTTGACTTTAAATATGTATTTTAGTGCCTTTGTCATTGTAATGTACTTCAGCAAGCTCTTAGAGTGAAAAGAGGAGGAGTAACGGTAGATGAAAAATTCAGAATGAAAGACTGCAAGTAAGAAAATAGGTAGCTACATAAAATGATAGAATGATGGATAGAATCATAGAATGGTTTGGGTTGGAAGAGGTCTTAAAGATCATCCATCTACTGATCACATAGTGATTACATGGTCACAACTGGTGATCACAAGTTTTAAATAGTATTTAAAACATTTTAAATGTTTAGTTTTAGAATATTAGTTTTAAACATGAACTAAAGTTGAAATCATTCCTTTTTAATAAAGAAAATGTTGTTTAAAGCTCTACTTAGCAGACTTTGTAATTAACCTATCTCCATCATGTGGTTGCCTGTTTTGTTTCAAAGCTTATGAAAATCGTGGAACAAGTTTAAGTTGCAAGTTTTGTCCAAGAGTTTGCTCCAATAGATTTATAGCTGTTAAAGTTTCTAAATAATTAGGAGTTATGAAATGTTTATGTAAAAATGTAGTGGGATTGATAGAGCAAGGCAAGGCAACACAATAATTTCTCAGTTAGCATTACCCAAGCATGTACTTAAAAGACAAAGGCACTGGTGCCCTGAGTGCCCATGTTGTGCTGGGAGACTACAGGTCAAAAAGGCCACAAATGAGTACATGTCCTTGTTTCCTACAAAAAGACAGAATTTAACAGGGCAGGTTAGGGAGCCATGGCAAGCAAGAAAACAGATGATAATAATACTTGCACAGAGATTTCTCTAATTCTGTTGAGGTCCTCTTGTGAGATGTGGTAAGCCAGGTGTTTCAATAACATCTTGCTGTTCTATTGTATATATACTAAGATTATTTGACTCGTAAAAAATCGTGTTTGAGATTTTCTGATTGTTGCCTATGCCTATGTGAGGTTTAACCAACCCTGCTACCAGTTAAGCCCAGGCCTGGTCTGTGCAGACTGAGCTGGGCACAGGCTCAGGCTCATCTGAAGAGCAAGGTGAGCTCCAAGGGAGGAGCTGAAGTGCCCTCAGCAAATGATGATATGGTGGTGGAAGGCACTAGTTAGCATGATATCCTACAAGACAACACTCCTAAATCAGAGCTCACGCAAATATCTGATTTCTTTTGGTCTTGATGCAAACTACTGAAGACACTAATACACAAAATATACTAAACCTATCCTTATTTGAGTTACTCAAACACAAAGGGATGATGTAACTCAAAATCTGCTGCCAAGCCATGCTTGAGGAGGGGGTATCACAAAACTAATTAAACATCCTCAAAATAGTTTCATTTAAAAACTCCACGCTTTTTCTTTCTTTTTGATTCTTTGTATCCCACTACAGTAGCTTTGCATCAAATAAACATTCAAAGGTAGTTGAAAATTAAAAATTAATTTTTCTTTGCAATTTGGGATCTGAGAAAAAAATGTAGGATGAAAACTTGCAAGTCTTTCATGTAATCATCTGACTTGAGCAGATCTTGTGAAAACATCAGATATCATGAGATGCCTGGTAGAATAACAAGTAACGGCTCCCCAGGCACAGGGCTGTAAGTCAAAGCATTTTTTTATAAACACAGAAAAGTGTGTTTCTATTATCAAATTATCAGCGTAACCATTCAACTACCATGACTCAGACCGCCAGCAGTCATGAGATGTGCTTACAGAGATTTAAAGAAAAAAAACCCAAAACAATAAAGACTAATGAAAACCATGCACAATCTCCATCTTCAGCATTACACCGATACAGCAAAAGTGGATTTTGCCTGGGAAAGCCCTGAACACAGGGAAGGTACTATGAAGGGAGTGCATTACACTCCTCTTTGGCCTGCTCTCTTTGGCACCGTCAGTCTACAGGACACCTAACGAGTTCTCAGAGTTCGCAGCCCCTAAAAAGCTCTGGGACACCAGTGAACGTTTCCCTACAGGATGCGGGCCCCTCCCGGCGGGGCAGGTGCAGTGGCTCTGGCCTAGACCAGGGGCGGCCCCGCGGGGTCCCCGCCGCGGTCACGGGCACGGGGCTTTCCCGAGGACTCCCCGGGCCGGGAGGCACCGCTGCGGGGAAGGGAGCGCCTGCACCCCCCGCTCCCTTCAGCGCCAGCGTGCTGAGCTCCGGGACTGTGGGAGAGCGTCCGTGTGCGGGTCGGCGGGGACGCTCGGGGCAGGAGGGCCGGGAGCCGGGGCGGACTCCGCCGGCGGCTGCCGGGGCGGCCCCTCCGCCGCCCCCCGTGAGCGGGCACGGCCGGGGCCGCCGCTCCCGCAGCCGCCCGGCGGGAGGCGGCACCGCCCGCTTGAACCGGAACCGGTTCGCGGGGGCCGCCCGGGGCGGCTGCTCCTGCTCCCGCTCCCTCTCCTGCTCCCGCTGCCGGTGCGGTGCCGGTGCCGCTGGCGCGGGGGCTGCGGCGCTGCCGCGCGGGTGCGAGCGCGGGGCGGGAGCGGCGGCTGCGCGGGGGCGGGGGAGGATGGGGCTGTGCCCCGGCGGGCCCCGCGCCGCCCGCCCGCGCTGCAGGGCGGCTTAGCTGCCGCAGCCCACGCCGGAGGGCCGCGCTGCGGGGCCGCCTCCGCGGATGAGCCGCCGGGGGGACCGGCCGGCGAGTGCAGCCGCAGGGCGCCGCAGCCGCCGCCGCCGCCTCCTCCTCCCCCGCCGCTCCCTCTCGTCGCCGCTGCCGCCCATGGCTTCCCGGCGCCCCCGCTGACCGGCCGCCCCTCGCCTCCTCCCGAGCCGGGCCGAGGCCGGGCAGAGAAGATGGGGAACACCACGTCCTGCTGCGTCTCCTCCAGCCCCAAGCTGCGCCGGAATGCCCACTCCCGGCTGGAGTCCTACCGCCCCGAGGCCGAGCTGAGCCGGGAGGACACGGGCTGCAACCTGCAGCACATCAGCGACCGGGAGAACATCGACGGTGAGCGCGGGCGGGCGCCCCGGGGAGCCCCGCATCCCTTCCCTTCCCCTCCCTGCGGCGGGCTCGGCTCTGCCCCCGCGGCTCCCCCGGGTGGGGCCAGTCCGGCCGGTCCCGCTGCCCGCACGGTGTCCCCCCGGGCCGCACGGACGGTGCTGGTCCCCGTGCCCGCCCCCGCGGGGCTCCTGGGGATGTCGCGGTCCGTCTGCGCGGGATTCTCCCTCCAGAGCTGCTCCTTTCCCCCGGGAGGGGTGTGCGGGACCCTTCTAGTGAGGGCTGGGGAGCATCCTCCCGCCTACATCCTTGAGCAGGGTGCAGGGTTTTGGCCCCAGATCTGCACTGCCGAGACCCTTCGCCCTTCAGAGTGTCGTGGGGTGGCATTATGGACAGACCCGGCGGGCTCGGACACCCGGGTTCGGCTTGGCCCCCGAGGGAGGCGTCCCTCGCCCTTGGCAGGGCTGGCTGTGCCGAGCTCACGTCACCTGCTGGGATGTCACCTGCCAGGCCTCTGCAGGGGTGAGCCTTTAAAGGACAAACCCAGCCAGCGATAAAAGTGGGAGAAATGTTTCCCATGACAACCTTCTCTTCCAGTGACTTTTTCTTCCCTGTTACTGCCGTGATGAGGCGCAGCGCTCTGGAATCACGAATGCCACCTTTCCTTCTCTTTTTCTGCAGTGATATTGAAAAAGCTGTATTTTTGTTGTTTTAGTAGTGACTGAATGTGCTGCCGTTTTGGCTAGCCAGAATACAGCTTAATTTTAAAGATATGGGTTGAGTTAATGTATACATGTAATTTAGTTTTTGATTAGCTGAAGTATTTAGTCCTAAAACTTTACTTGGTAAAAGGTCAGCTATCTCATGGATTAGTTCACATGGGCTGCTGTTGGTAGAAAACCAGAAAGACGGACTTGGGTGCACTTCAGTTTGCCTTCTACATTTTTCCATAGCTTATCTGATTGTGATTTTAGTACAGAATTTTATGTTAAGTCAGTACTTGAGACTAGTAAAGTTGTGAAGCCCATAGAAGCAGATAGGTACCCTCACTGGTTTCTTTCAGTGAGGTGCATTCTGGAAATATCAGTGGTTTTGAGATGTCTTTGCTACATGCAGCTGAAAAATTAGACTGTAACAGGATCAGTAGGTGGAAAAAAATACATAATGGTTCGGTCTGAGAAAGCCAGGGAGATGAAAGAACCAATTGTTGATCTATGAATGATTAATTCTTCCAACATCAGTGGTGTCCAGCGTAGCAGGATGCAGCTTTCTCTGATGGTACGGATTTCTCCAGCTATACCAACACAGACTGCAGTAAAGTTTTTGGTCAGAGATGTATGGGTTTTGTGCCTTGTTCTTAATTTGTTTGGTTTTTTGTTTTTTGCTTTCGTTTTTTTTTTAATGGATGGAATGAAAGACATTGGTGGAAATAGTAAGTGCATGTGTGCTTGCTAAAATGCGCATGTAATGCAGATAAGTTCCTGCATCTGAGTTATTTGCAAAAAAAAAAAAATCATTATTGATTGGTTGTTTAACTTATTGGGTCAACGCACATGTGTGTTCTCTCTCTCTTTTCCTTTATATTGTGGCACATTTCAAGTCTAAAGCTGTAACCTGTTGTTAGAAGACAGAAAATACCTCATGCATTATTTATTTTTAGGTTTTGTTGGTTTTGGTCAGGAACTACTGACAGTGCAATGACACATTTTCAGATGGTCAAAGTGTCTTTAAATCTGAAAAAGAGCAAACACTTTTGGGTTTCCTTTTTGTTCCTTACTCTAGTCTTGCCCCTTTTTATGGATAAAGTCTGAGAAGTAAGTTTCTACTGGGGAGACTGATAGATAATAAATGTTCACACGAAACAACTGGACGGACTTTGGGTAAAACTACTTTTTGAAGTGTTAGTTGCAGGTCTTTTATGCTGGAGTGATACCCACTGATGGTCTTTTGGTTAGATGGTAGACTGGTTACTAAATGTCATAAGATGATTCTGTGTTTCTGAAATTTTATTTCTTATTAGACTATCTATTATGTTTTTATTATTAGATTGTTTGAAGTTGTATGGCATACAAATGTCTACAGATGAGTCTCTAGGATGGGAAAAATCCTTCACAGTAGAGAACTAATGATTTTCTTACCATTTTATGACAAAAAATGGTAGTGTGGTTATCTGTGTCATGAAGAGAGAATGCTGGGTGTTGATTCCTTAACGTTCCTGCAAGTCATGAAGTTTCTCAAGTTGGCAGTGTTGCCAAATGTACTTTTTTTTTTTAATTAAATAAGTGATGACAAAGACTGGTGCAGTGAAAGGAAACATTTTTGACACTTCGAATTTATATTTCTCACTGTTCTTTGAGTGAGAGCCCTTCCATCCTACTCAAGTGTATGTGGCAGTGACAGGTCTTAAAGTGAAAATTCGTGTCTCTAACAAGTGTTTACCTTTTCAGTGGTACTTTTGGGAACTGTAAAAATCGTGCCATGCAGTGTCTGAGTTAATATGTTTTATGTGGAAGTTGTTTTCATGCTCATATGGATGGAAATTCAGGAAACATTTTATTTATTTTGAGTGGATAAAGCTGCTTGAATAAATCAAGAACTTTTAGAGCCTTTAAATAAGCTGTGGGCTGTTTTAAGCTTTAAAGAGATGCGTGGTTTGCACTGTTGCAGGCCCTGTTTTTGGCAGTATAAGAAGGAGAAAGAAAAAGAGGGAGGGATGTCAAACCTTTAAGAGTGATTTAACTGGAAGTTTTAGTACTAGTGGAACTGTTTGACGTTTGCCTGTCTTCTATACTTCCTAAGGAAATACTCATCAAATCTGCCTTCAAAATCATGCCTTTGAATTGTCTCCTCTAATTCAACTCCATATCCAATCCATTAGCATTTTTTCAAAGAATGGCTGGAGCAATTCTATTTCAGTAAGAACTGGTTTTATGGCAAAATGTTACCTCTACATCACTGGTACCTTGTCAGAGCGATCTCAATTTCTGTAATATTTCACACCTGTTTCTGAAATGGTATCTGAAAGAGAAGGGAATTTTGACAGAGATTTGATTAGGAGGAATTTATCAAGTGACTTGTTTTAAAGAATACTCGTGTTGAATTGACCTTTCTCCCTTTTTTTTTCCCCCCCAAAAAAAATTTTAAGAAGATGCAGAATTGATTCTCTAAATTGATTCTCTAAATATTGGACAGTCACCAGAGTGCTTTTTTTTTTGTTGTTTTTTTTTTTGTTTGTTTGTTTGTTTGTTTGTTTGTTTGTTTATTTGTACAGGCTCATGATAATGAAGAACACCTAACAGTTTTTTATGTCTTTTGCTTTTGAGGAAGAGCGAGAGGGTAATTGTAACATACAGAGCTTACCGTCTGTTTTTGATGATTTATTACTAAGGATGAGCTTCCATATTTTTCAGTGCTTCACATGTAAAAGTTGAGGAGAATTGTAGCAGTGGATTCAATACTTGCAGATTCCTACATCTGTCTGTTTGCCATCAAGACTTTTTTATGGCAGTGTTAATGGCACCAATAAGTAAAAATGGCTGAAAACTTTGTGTCTGTATCTCATTTGGATGCAAATTTCTGTCTGTGCAAGCTGTGTGAGCATCTTGGTATATGCATTGTGTAAATCCTTGCTAGCTGGGCCTAGGCTCTGCTTAACTCTTTACATCAGCAAGTCACAGACCCAGTGGTGGTTTAACTTGTGAAAAAGCAGCATGTGCTCAGATGTGATTTCTCTGTTCGAAGCATGATTTCTATAGTCAGCTTTTCAAGTATGGAGCTGTAGTGAGGGGGCAAAACATGATGACGTGAAGCAAAGCTAATTCTGTACAATGAAATTTGCCAAAAGGCTGTTCTTGAAATAGAGGCTGGATGGAGAGTTCCTAGGCTATTTCAAGAAAAGACAGTTGTTAATGATGAACCCCTCCCCAGTCTCCCCCTCCCCCCACCAAAAATCTGATTTTTTTTTGTTTGTTTATCTCCCTCTTTGTAAACTTCTGCTGATGTCACTGGGTCATGCATTGGTAGCTCAGATAATGACCTGTGCGACTGTGCATCACTGATAAATGTCTTCAGCCCTTTTCACCTTGGGTCAATCATGTTAATTTTTTTACTGCATAATGAACAGGCTCCTAAGAATGGATTGCTTTTTAAGAAGCCACTTATTTGTTCATTTACATATTTTTTCTCCATCTTCTTGAAACTGGCACGTGGGAATCTCTGGTGTGAGATTAGTTAGTATTTGCGTATCTCTGTCTACTGGGTTTTATAAGAATTATGAGATTTGAGCAAAATACAAGAAAGTTTTAAAATGTCTGCCCCATATACCTAATGGAATTTTGCTGAAAGGGA